CTGGACCATGTGTGTAGTTGGTGATGGCTCCCGTCCCCCTGTGTGGTTTAATCTTCCGATTGTTGCTGCCTCTCGGTCTCCTTACAGGTAAGAGTTAACTGATTTTACTAATTCCACAAGAATGAAGTCGTTACAGGTTGGGGATTTATATATTTCAACCTCATAAAATTTAACTGTGGGTTTTAATCCCTGAGCCTAAATGTAGACCTGTTAATATTTAGAGTTGCCTACTGCCAGGCATTGGGTTGGGTATATCCAGGAGCAGAGACTCAGAAAAGCTGCCTGTTGGTTGTGGGCTTACCCAGACAATGTATGCAGCCAGTTGGGTCTGTCAGTGTTGTTTGACCTGTGACTGTGTGGGACATATACATCGAACATAGAACAGTACAGTACAGCACAGGACAGGAATGGGCCCTTTGGCTCATGATGTTGTGATGAACTTGATGCCAAATTAAACTTATCCCTTCTGCCCTTTGCCCATATTCCTCTATTCCTTGCATATTCATGTGTTTATCCAGAAGTCCCTTAAGCACCCCTATTGTATCTGCCTCCACCATCATCCCTGGCAGCATGTTTCAGACTTCTACCACTCCCTGTGGTAAAAAACTATGCTCCTCACATCTTCTTTGAGCTTTCCCCCTCTCACCTTAAATGCTTGTCCCCTAGAATGAGACATTTTAACTCCTGGGGGAAAAAGGTCTTGACCGTCAACCTTGTCTATGCATCTTATTATTTTATGACCTTCTATCAAATTTCCCCTCAGCCTCTACCACTCCAGAGAAAACAACCTGAGTTTTTCAAGCTTCTCCTTATAGCTCATACCCTCTAATCCAAGCAGCATCCTGGTAAACCTCTCCAAACCCTCCACATCCTTCCTGTAATGTGGCAACTAGAATTGAACATAATACACAAAGTGTGGCCTAACCAAAGTCTTATAAAGCTGCAACATGACATTCTGACTCTTGTACTCAGGACTCTTGTCCTGACTAATAAAAGCAAGCATACCATATGCTTTCTTTATCACCCTATCCGCCTGCGGGGGCCACTTTCAGGGAGCTATGAACTTGAACCCCAAGATCCTTCTGTACATCAGTGCTGTTCAGGGTCCTGCCATTAACTGGATACTTTTCCTTAATATTTGATCTCCCAAAGTGCAGCACCTCACACTTAGCCTGATTAAAATCAATCTGCCATTTCTCCACCCATATCTGCAACTGATTTATGTCCTGTTGTATCCTTTGACAACCTTCTAAACTATCCACAACTCCACTGATCTTTGTATTGTTTGTGAACTTATGAACCCACCCATCTACATTTTCATCCAAGTCATTTACATACATCACAACAGCAGAGGTCCCAGTACAGATCCCTGTAGAACACCACAAGTCACAGACCTCCAGCTAGAAAAGACCCTTCCACCAGAATTGGCAGGCCAGTTCTGAATCCAAACAGCCAAGTCTCCGTGGTTCCCATACATTTTAACCTTCTGGATGAGCCTATTAGCATCCATGCAGACAACATCGACTGCTCTACCCACATCAATCACCTTCATCACCTCTTCAAAAAAAAACATACGTTCCCCAAAGCCCAATTCTGAACCATTAACGCCTGGCATCTCTGTCTAATTGGACTTGCTGACTTGTTCTGTTTGTGTTTCATAAAGTGGAGCCAGACCATGCTTGGTGCTTTTGCCTCTTTCATGGAGAAATCCAAAATCTGATCTGTTGTGCGCATGAACTTGAAATCAATGGAAGTTGCAGGTTACATAGATTTAAACCTCACCATGATAGCAGGCTCACAGGCTCCCTGCTACAGATCCATTAATGTTATAAAAGTGAAACCTGTGCATTTTGGCCTTTTAGTTACTTTTTAAAAACTGATGATAGCGTCTAATTATTCTTGAAAGTCTGATGAACAATTAGTCTCCAATTACTTAATAACCATGATGTGAAATGCAAATAACTTCCAATTCGCCCAGTGCTGGGTTTGAACAATTAATCTCTAAATAATTGCAAAATAAATGAACAATTAAACTGCAATTAATTGGGTGTATTGAAATTAGCTTTCAATTAGCCTTGGATGTGATGAGAAATTGGCCTCTACCTAATGCTACAGTGGGAATGGAAGTGAGATTGTTTGTTTGTTTGTGAAATGGATGACTGATCCACATTTGTCAGTTTCACACCTCCAATGTTAAATTTAAAATCTTCCTGTATGAGCAGCAGAGATGCAGCACATGCTGTTTCACCCCTTCCCTCCCTATTGTCCAGGATCCCTAACATTTCTCCAGGAGGAACCAAAGTTTCCTTCTGCTTCTTCCAACTTTGCAAACTCTAATACTGTAATCACTGCTCATTATATGACCTCCTCTTCAATGTGAACAACAAATGCAGACTGGGTGTGATTTTGCAGAACGCTACCTTGCAGTCCATAAACATGACCCGAAGTCCGTGACTCACTTATTGGATGAAGCACGTATCTTTTGGAGGAAGGTTGAGCAGGTTAGGTCTTTATCCCTCAGAGTTTAATAGAATGAAGCATTTAAGATCCTGGATAGGATTTGATTTATTATTGTCATAGGTACCTAGGTACAGTGAGAGTTTCGTTTTGCATGGAATACAGGCATATCACACCATATAAAGTGTGTAAGGGTAATAGAACAGAGCAAGGAATACAATGCTACGCTGCAGAGAAGGTGCACAACGAGCGAGGTCAACATTAATTTTAAAATTTGAGAGGCCCATTCAGAAGTCTAATAACAGTGGGGAAGAAGCTGTTCTTGAATCTATTGGTACGTTTTAGCTTTTGTGTCTTCTGCCTGACAGAAGAAGTTGGAACAGATTCTAACCGGGATGGGAGGGGTCTTTGATGATGTTGGCTGCCTTTCTGAGGCAGCGAGAAGTATAGATGGAGTTAATGGATGGAAGGTTGGCTTATGTGATGGACTGGACTGTGTTCACAACTTTCTGTAGTTCCTTATGGTCCTGGGCTGAACCAAGCCATGATGCATCCAGATAGAATGCTTTCTAGGGTGCATCTATAAAAATTGGTATTGTGGACATGCTGAATTTCCTTAGCCTCTTGAGGAAGTAGAGGTGTTGTTGTTCTTTCTTGATTGTTGCATCAACGTGGGTGGACCAGGACAGATTGTTGGTGATCATCACTCCTGGGAACTTGACGCTATTAACCATCTCCACCTCAGCTCCAATTGATGTAAATAGGTGTGTGCCCTCCACCTTGCTACATTCACATCCAAGTTGTTGGTATTTATGACAAACAGTGGGAACCCAGCGCCAATCCCTGTTGTACACCACTGGTCAAAGCCTTCTAATCACAAAAACAACCCTCCAACATCACCTTTTGCCTCCTATCTGTTATACAATTTTGGATCCAGTTTGCCAAATTGCCTTGGCTCACATGGGCTCTTACCTTTGGACAAGCCTTCCATGTGGGACCTTGTCAAAGGCCTTATTGAAATTCATGTAAACCGTATCATCTGCACGACCTTCATCAATATCTTTGGTCACCTTTCAAAAAAACTCAATTAGATTTATCAGACAGTATCTCCTTCTAACAAATCCATGCTGACTATCTCTGATCAATCTCTGCCTGTCCAAATGTTGATTAATCCTGTCCCTTAATTTTTTTCCAATAATATCCCCACTACTGACATCAGACTAACTGGTTTGTAATCATATGGCCTATTCCTGCTGCCCTTTTTGAACAAAGGAACCACACTTGTGATCCTCCAAACATCTGGCACCTCACCCATGGTCACTGATGTATTAAATATCTCTGGCAAAGCCCCAGCCATCTCCTCCCTTGCCTCCCATAGCAGCCTGGGATACAAATCACAGCCCCTGGGGATTTACGCATCTTTATGCCTGCTAAAACATTTAATACCTCCTCCATTAATCTTCACATGTTCTAGAACCTCAACATTCCAACTAATATCCCCAGCTACGATGTCTTTCTCCTTTGTGAATACAGACAAGAAATAAGAATTTAAGACCTTGCCCACATTCTCTGGCTCCACATACCAATTGCTCCTTTAGTGTCTAATAGGCCTCGCTTTTTCACTGGTAATCTTCTCGCACTTTAGTGTACTTGTAGAATGTCTTGGGTTTTTCCTGAATTTATCTGCTGAAGACATTTCATGGCCTCTCTTTGCCCTCCTAGTTCATTTTTTAAGCACTCTCTATACTGTTTTTAATGCTCTGTGCCTTGCATATGCTTCCTTCATTTTCCTTATCAAACACTCAATATCCCTTGACGTCCAGGGAATTTGCTGCCCTTGCCCTACTCTGGTAGAGGAACATGCTGGCCCTGAGTTCTCACTCTAACACTATTAAAAGACTCCCACTTTCTAAATGTGGACTTACCTGCAAAGAGCAGCTCCCAGTCTCTGTTGGCCAGATCCCATCTGATGATATTGAAATTGGCCTTCTGCCAATTTTGACCCTTAACTTCTGCATTATCCTTATCCCTTTCCATTATGACTCTGAAACTTATTATGGTCATTATTCTCAAAATGCTCACCCACTGAGACTAGTTGACCAGCTTCATTCATAGAATCCCTAAAGTGCTGAAAGAGGCCATTCGGCCCATCAAGTCTACACCAACTCTTCGAAGAGCATCTTACCCAAACCCACACCCCACCTTGTCCTTGTAACACCACCTGGAGTCTTTCCTATGGCCGACCCATTCAACCTACACATCCCTGAACACTAGGGACTGTTTTTAGCATGGCCAATCCACCTAACCTGCATATCTTTGTACTAGGGGAGGAAACCCACACAGACACAGGGAGAACGTGCAAACGCCCAAACTCTACCTGGATGCTGCCTTGTAGAGAGCACTCGCCCACCCCCTGTGCTTACTGAGCTCCTCTGGCTTCTGGTTTGATTTTTAAAATTCCTTCCCTTGTCTCCAAGCGTCATATTCCCTGTGTAACCCCTCCCCACCATGTAGGCACATACTGAAGGCAATGTGAGAGTGTTTATCAGGACAAGCCTGTGCTTGTGTCATTGCTAAATGGGATGGTTCTTGTGCACCTATCTCGATCTCCATGTTCAGTGTAGCCTCAT